TCTTCTCTTTTTTGCCTTTCCGGCATTGTTCAAGATGGCGTCTGTGGGACATGACCCCTTCGACCCAGAGGTTATGAAAGAGTTGAAGAAGGACATAACTCACGAGGAGGTGCCCCTTTGTGTCATCTAGGCCATCATTCTGTCGAACGGATTTTGTGTTTAGGTCAGCCAACTAACGCGAGCCATGAAAAGGCCGGAGTTCAAGGAGCATTTCCAGGAATACATCGACGAGATATCGGACCCCAAAAACAAGAAGGTAATTAGCGCAGTGAGAGCGCTTTGCGGCGCATGAATATGGTTCAGGAGTATGAGCAGTACTTGAAACAGCTCGAGGATGCCGGGGAGATGCCGAAAGGCAAAGTCTTGCTCAGATGCAAACCAGGTAGTGAATTCTCGTTGTTGCGAGATGGACTCGATGGCTCAGGCATCTGTGTGAAGACGTCGATAAGGTTCCAATCGGGGCAGGTGCAGAAGCTATTCCTCAACATATGCCACACTGATAAGCTTGGTGACGTGCAGTTCAAGAAGCAGGAGGTGAAGGCACATGAGAAGTGGCCAAGCCCGCTAGTCGGATCGCGATGAACTCAGTTCGGCACGTCTTTAGCCCTGAAGCTGCCGGGCGAACGCCAGGGTATGCAGTATCATTGCCCTACTCCGCCTCGCCCCCAAGGCCCGATAAGGATAAAAAGGATCATCTCTGCATGGTGTCCGACGTAGCCGTCAGCGAGGTGCCTTATACTTTGGAGAGTACTTACGGATGAGAATAGTTGGCTCGGTTGTTCCCAGCGCACCTTCGTCCAAGCCGTGCAGAACGAGGCCTTGCTGAAGCTCGTGGTCGATACCGTTTGTGAAGCCATCACAGCTTCCTGCCTGAAGGGAGGCGAGACAGTATCTCGGGACTTCAAAGTAGCGATGCTGTTCCGGATGGCAATGAGGAGGGAGCTTGGAGTAGGTACTGCAAAAGATGCGGTGTAAGGGCGGCACACCAATGCCTATGAGCGTCAGTGAGGATATGCTGCTCACTATGAAGGAGGGCCACAGAACGCCAAAAAGAAAGTATACCTAAGATTGGACAGTGGTGTTTGTATAACGCGCTAGGTTGAGGGAATGACACCTGCGGAGTTGCGCAAGATGCAGAAGAGGGCGAAGAGGGAACGGGAGGAGGGAAAGGCGAATGATGACGAGCAGCAGTCGGTAGCGAGTCCCGTGACCGATGAGAACCAGGTAGAGTAGTTCATCGGCCACATGGAGATCACTCGCGCCTGGATCACCGTCTATTCGATTGGCTCCGTCTTCTCTGGCTTTTACGCACCCTGTCGCCCTCCCTAGGAAGCTGACGAGAACAACATATTCGGCTCCTCCGCGGAAGCAGATGCATCGTCTGGGCTCATACTGCAACCCAAGTTCAAGATAGTAGAAGTCGGGCAGCTGCGAGACCTCTCAAGCTTCGTGGACTCCTCGGCTGGTACTGAACCTTTCCGCTGCTTGACCTACTGTACGCCCCTCTACAAAGTCTTAGGCTAAGAATTTGTGGAGGGGTGTAGATGGTCCCAATGGAAGTTGTTGACTCGTGGTGGCTGCCATTGTCGACCGGTCGATCTTAGTGGAGAGCCTGTTTTTTTCTTTACTCCCCAGGTCATGCGTCCGCTCCATCCGTCCACTGGACTGTCCCCGAGAGAATATTCGCTTGGAAGTGGAGCTGCCTGGAGTGAAGCACAGCAACGAAATCGACGTTGATACCGCAGGAGTCGCTGGTGGTGTGATCGTGCAGACTAAGAGGTGAGAGGTACGGCATTTCAAGGCCTGCTGCGAGGAGATGTAGATGTGCGTGGTCGACAATGCCGATACGGATGAGGGCCCTCTTATTGGATCTAGCGACAGGAATACGGGGTTCTGTTACCTCAGACGGAATGTCGTCAATACGGCAGATATTCGTCCATCCCTGCTCTCTATCGTTCTGCTCAGCCGTCTGTGTTGAAAACTTCTTCGTTGTACCTTCGCAGTCGTTCGAATTACTTGGCGGTGGCAAGTTCTTTCTAGGCCGAAAGCGTTTGCCCTAGAGCTCTCCACAATTGTCCGCATTCGCACGTACGATGAGATGACCGTGGGGTGAGACTGCTTTAGGTACTACTTGGATATCACTCTGCCCCTATGTCGTGGACAGTGACAATGCCGTAGCTCGGTTCGACAAGAGGCTCCACAGGCTTTCAGTAACCTATCCTGTTACAGGTAGGATGGATCTCGGTGCCTGGGGAACATCACTTAATAGACGGCCTTGTCTTGGTGCGGCAGGCCGTAAAGTTCGTGAGAGTGCGGAAGGCATGGATGCCGCCCTGCCCGTTGTCGACGATACTGCAAAGTTGAAGTCAGCAGACGCTGGAGCTGCGGTGGAGGAGCCCGAGACTGAGGTTGGATATGCAGGTGACGAAGTTGACGATGACAGGGTACTGGCGGCTACAGACGTAGCCGATTCTTCCGACCAGTGCAGTGGGGGTGACCCAGAGAACATAAGCAGCTCAACTGAGAGCGCAGTAGAAGGTTCCGAGAAGAGCTCGTCGGTCGTAGAACTCGGATTTGAGACTATCTCGCAACGGAGCCAGGATATAGAAGAAGATGATGGCGACTTTATGGCCAGTGATACATTCGAGGGCCCTCGAGTTGGATACTATTTCGGTATGGGCAACGAGGGACTTGGCTACTACAAGGACAGTGAGGCAGCGTGTACCAAGCAGAAGTCTGAGACGCTGGAGGATGAGGGCGCTGGCTTGTATGGAGATGGCCAGGGTTGTGAACCGCTGGAGGGATCGGTGATAAGTGAAGCCAGGGCCCGAGCACCTGAGCCTCTGGTCATCGCTGAATCCACCAGCGTTCCGGTCGAGAATTCGGAGAAGGCAGAGTCGCGAGACGAAGCAGATTCCTCTCAGCAGGCAGAGGATAATGGAGTAGACCCCGCAGCCGCCCTGCTCGGTCAGAGTGTACGGCTGGAGTCCTCCCTCCCCTGGATTCTCTTGTAACCCCATGAAAGCGAATGTTGCTTCGTTCTAACGGTGTTCCGCGTTCTCGAAAAATGGCGATCTGCTATTCGAACAGTTTGGGCCGACTCGTTGCAGGTTATCATCCCCCTTCCCCTGGTAATTACGGTGCTCTGCTTCTGTTCGTACGTTCAGGGCAGCCTAGGGCGGCACTTGAGGCCTCTCGCGCTGATCCTTGGCGTAGCTAGGTGTCCGCTGAGAGTTACAACAGCTGCATACGGGACAGCGATAGCCTTCGTCTGAGCTGATTCATCGATATATACGTGTTTGTCATTCTCGTAGATTAATTTTTCATGTCATACTCGTACCTCTTCAAATACATTATAATTGGCGATACAGGTAAAATGCGCGGTCCTCATTGGGCTCCCACGCACGGTGGTTCTGCAGGTGTTGGTAAATCGTGCCTGCTCCTCCAGTTCACCGACAAGCGCTTCCGGCCAGACCATGACTTGACCATCGGGGTGGAGTTCGGCGCTCGGCTGGTAGGCACGTCTGCTCTCAGAGCGAATGCACGGCAGTTTCGCCCTCTCAGGTGAATGTCGACGGCAAACAGATCAAGTTGCAGATCTGGGATACAGCGGGACAGGAAAGCTTCCGCTCAATAACGAGGAGCTATTATCGTGGAGCCACGGGCGCCCTCCTAGTCTACGACATCTCTAGGTAGCACTACTGAGTCGGTAGAGGTCACAATATCGGCACGCTTCAGGCGAGATACTTTCAATCACCTTACTCGCTGGTTAGAAGAAGCGAGGCAAAACTCGAATCCTAACATGGTAATTATGCTCATCGGCAACAAGTGTGATCTCGAGAGACGTGAAGTCTCCTATGAAGAGGTAAGTTATAGGAGCGCTGGGCGCAGCTCTCTTCAACAGTTGGATTCAGGGCGCACAATTCGCGAAAGAGAATAATCTGATCTTCTTGGAGGCGTCGGCGAAGACCGCTCAGAATGTGGAAGAAGCATTTCTGCAGACTGCGAGAAAGATCTACGAGAACATCCTCGCTGGCGTTTACGACTTGTCCAACGAGGTGAGTTCTGTGCCGGCCGGATCAATTTTAGTGGAGCCCTCGAGGCGGGTCTACATGTATGTTCGCGGGAATCAGCACCCTGGCTCCAATCCCCATCCGGGAATTCTGGGGATACGCTCTCGTAAGACCTATTATTCATGTTTTTTTGTCAGTCTCATGGCATCAAGGTTGGTCTCCCCGCCAGTAGCACAAATGTTGCGGAGTTACAAAACCAGAGATACACTCAATCCCAGGGCGGTTGTTGCTCCTAATTCTGACCGAGGCGGAGCAGCGTCCGAGTGGGAGCGCTCTGTGCAGACACTCTGATTTCACGAACTTGATATCAATACCCAACTCCTCATTGCTATAATGCTTGTAGTAAGAATTTTGCTGATACAATTCTCGCTGGCAAACAGAGACCATAAGCAATGTCTGCTTGCGTTTAGTCACGTGACGCTCTGGGAATGGGGGAGGGTAAATGGGTGCCCACATACCCAATGATGGTGTTCAACGGCTCAGTAGGCGCATGCGTTACCTCGTCGTTGAACGACGGTCGTTCTATTTCTACTCGCTTTCGCTGTACTCGCCGAGTGTCGAGGTATCAATTACAGCCTCACGATCTTGCTATTGTGCCGAGTACTACTCGGTACACTAGCAAGATGGTGATACTATGTAACATAGTCTATGTTCGATCTGTGTGAGTACTAAGTACTCAGTACTTCCTTCATTCGGGACACTATTGCACGCTTGGCCGATTCTCCTAGATCCGATCTCAAGAGCCTTATGATAGCAAGAAATGAACCTTTCTCTTCCGTTGATGAGATTGTAAAACTACGAGGTTCCATCACGACAATATTCGGCGAGAAAAATAAGTCTGTAGCTGCTGTAATTGTATTCCAATCGGTTGGCCTGCTATACTGTGGCATGCTCAGCCGAATCGCGTGGAACATTCAGTAAAGACACTACTGGAACCGAGAATCGAACTCGGGACCTACTGCGTGTGAGGCAGTCGTCATAACCGACTAGACCATTCCAGCTTGCCGATACTTTACCAGGTGACAGCTTGTCGACGATGCTGCCAGTAGCAATATATCTCGGCTCACTCAGTTGAACTTTCTAGAGCCAGCCGTCTTGGGACTGTCAAGCCCAGAATCGAAACCGGCCCTCAGGAATTTGTAATACAAATCGTCAGGCTGGAAGACCATTCTAGCGAGAACGATGGTATCTCTGAGACCAGAGGCATGTCGACCGCATCACCCGTATCTTGGATAGTGGCAATTTACTAAACGCGTTTCCACGAGGTCGAATGCTGATCCAAGATGGTGATGCTGTACTGGATGCGCGTGGGTCCCCACCCTACTCGGAAAAATTGCTTGTTTGAGGCCAACTCATCTGGCTCTTCCGCAGTACATTGGCAAGTAACCTCTCTAGTAGGCCACTCGTCGACAGGTTCAGCGGGTGGAATTGAGATCCTCACAGTCCGTGTGTATCCGAATTATTCGGGAAAGTCCTGTCCAAGCCATACCTGCCACGAGTGTTTGCCCGAGTGGTTAAGGGGGTGGACATAAGATCCACTGGACATGGTCCGCGTGGGTTCAAACCCCACAGCACTCACCGTTGAAGCTCCCTATAGCATTCTGTCGGCAACAAAGGTGATACTGTACCTTATGCATCACCACAACGTCAGATGGTCATACTATACTCGATGCATCAACACAACTTTAGGTGCCTGTAGCAATATAGTGTAGTATACTGAGTATACTATACTCGAACCGCGTAGGTCATACGTGTACGTTACTCGTCATAACCAACCGGAGTACTCCACCGAGAATGCGGGCCTCTTAGTCGTGCAGTTCGGGGCCACATATGCTGCTAATCTGAAGTTTCCAGAGCCGTCAACGAACAAGTACTGGAACCGAGAATCGAACTCGGGACCTACTGCGTGTTAGGCAGTCGTCATAACCAACTAGACCATCCCAGCGAGTCGAAACTGGAACGACCTCAATCCTGGCAACGATGCAGTCGCACTCGATGCATGGTGGCATACTTGACGGTACTACCCAGCCGTAATCGGGAAATCACTAAAAGCGATGATCAAGCTGCGTGTGTACAAGCTCGATAGCAAGGAATGAACCTTCCCCTTCCGTTAATGAGATTGTAAAACTACGAGGTTCCATCACGACAATATTCGGCAAGAAAGATAAGTCTGTAGCTGCTGTAATTGTATTCCAATCGGTTGGCCTGCTATACTGTGGCATGCTCGAACGAATCGCGTGGAACATTCAGTAAAGACACTACTGGAACCGAGAATCGAACTCGGGACCTACTGCGTGTGAGGCAGTCGTCATAACCGACTAGACCATTCCAGCTTGCCGATACTTTACCAGGTGACAGCTTGTCGACGATGCTGCCAGTAGCAATATAACTCGGCTCACTCAGTTGAACTTTCTAGAGCCAGCCGTCTTGGGACTGTTAAGCCCAGAATCGAAACCGGCCCTCAAGAATTTGTAATACAAATCGTCAGGCTGGAAGACCATTCTAGCGAGAACGATGGTATCTCTGAGACCAGAAGCATCTCGACCGCATCACCCGTATCTTGGATAGTGGCAATTTACTAAACGCGTCTCCACGAGGTCGAATGCTGATCCAAGATGGTGATGCTGTACTGAATGCGCGTGGGTCCCCACCCTACTCGGAAAAATTGCTTGTTTGAGGCCAACTCATCTGGCTCTTCCGCAGTACATTGGCAAGTAACCTCTCTAGTAGGCCACTCGTCGACAGGTTCAGCGGGTGGAATTGAGATCCTCACAGTCCGTGTGTATCCGAATTATTCGGGGAAATCCTGTCCAAACCATACTTGCCACGAGTGTTTGCCCGAGTGGTTAAGGGGGTGGACTTAAGATCCTCTGGACACGGTCCGCGTGGGTTCGAACCCCACAGCACTCACCGTTGGAGCACGGTGCTCCAACGGTGCTCCGAGCACCCAATAGCCTTCTGTCGGCAACAAAGGTGATACTGTACCTTATGCATCACCACAACGTCAGATGGTCATACTATACTCGATGCATCAACACAACTTTAGGTGCCTGTAGCAATATAGTGTAGTATACTGAGTATACTATACTCGAACCGCGTAGGTCATACGTGTACGTTACTCGTCATAACCAACCGGAGTACTCCACCGAGAATGCGGGCCTCTTAGTCGTGCAGTTCGGGGCCACATATGCTGCTAATCTGAAGTTTCCAGAGCCGTCAACAAATAAGTACTGGAACCGAGAATCGAACACGGGACCTACTGCGTGTTAGGCAGTCGTCATAACCAACTAGACCATTCCAGCGAGTCGAGACTGGAATGACCTCAATCCTGGCAACGATGCAGTCGCACTCGATGTTGTGGTTCGTAGAACAGACCCCGACTCTGAACACGACAGAGAATGGGGAAAGCCAGAAGCTTGTTCCTCGAAAACCCTGTGTATGCGTACCGAATCAATAATCGATAGCTTATACAGTAGCTACACATCAGAACCCGCGCGCGCCACGAGAGTGATATTAAGCACTGTAACATACTTGCGAAAGGGACACCACAAGAACTAATGATGTGGCAATACGAATCAATACATTCGCCCTCCTTGCCACATGATACTCTTGGATACTACGAATCCAACGGAGACAAGGAAAAAAATAGTGGATGAGTCACAACAATGTATATTATTATCATCACATCTTTATAACTCTACTGAGTATGCTCACGACGATCAAGCCTGCGCATTGCACGCCTGAGATCGGCAACATCTGTTTCTGCCGATGTACAGATACAGAGTCTCGAAGCATGCACGACCTTCACCTCACCATCGCTAACCACCTTAACCTTGCGGAAATAACCATAGTCGTCAGCGTCGGTGATGAGACCATTACTGGTAGGAAAACCAACCACCCGCCAGCGTCGCTCACTGAAGGGGGTATCGTTGGAGTTGGAGATAACCTTGTCAAATCTCGTAACAGCTCGCACACGGACAATACATCCCGGATAGAGCTCATGCTTAGTGCTGGTGTGAAGCTTCGTCTCAGCCTGCTGAACCATCTTGTCTACCAGCCTCTTCCACTCAACACTCTCGGGATCAGTATCGAGCATGTCGCTTGGTATCTGCCCAGTGACAGAGTGGCGACTCGAGTTATAGGCTCTCATGACACGATGGATTGCAGTCTCAATATCCATCGAAGGGTCATCTGCTAGCACAGCGCGCACCCATCGGCGCACTGTTCGATGAAGAGACTCCACCATACCGTTAGATTGACTTGATCTCACCGGAGTGAAGAGCCTCTTAACATCAGGTAGTTGACAAGATATAAACGATGCTGCATTGTCCGTCAGCAAGTACTCGGGACGCTTTCCCAGTATCTCCCAGCTACGCTCAAAAGCTTGCTGAATGGTGATAGCATCCTCCCCTGTCAGCCTAATCAAGCAAGCAAATTTGCTCACTGCACATTGCTGCGACAGATAAGGCTCAGGAAGATATACCACATCGGCGCTCACCACAGAGAACGGCTTCGCATGACGTAGACGCTCTGGTGAGAAGATACCAATATCATGCTCGACTATCGTCGGTCTCGACTGTCGGGAGCAAACATCGCAGTTCGATAGCATTGCAGCGGCCTCATCCAACATATTCACAAACCAACATAAACCAGAGAGTGCTTCAAGGATGCGACGACAGCCGCTATGGCACAGCAAAGAGTGAATCCCATGAACCACCTCCGCCTTGAGGCTGTTCGGGATCACAGGCACTGTGACCATCTCTCCCTCACAGGGAGCATAGTACTCTCTGACCAGCACATCATACTCGTTGATGGCAATGTCGGGTAGAACTTGCTGCATCTCGATGGGCACAGACTCCGGCACCAACCGATGGGCTTGTAAGGCTCGTCGCACCTTGTAGCAAACTTGATCATCATACTGTGCTTCGATGATAACACCGTGATTGAGAGCAAGGTCGTCATACACCAGGTTGCCCACCAACGCAGCCGCTGCAGTCGGCTCGTCGAGGTCAACTTCAATGTCAAGACTGCCTTCGCCCTCCAAGCTGGACATCATGATGGCAAACTTCTCATCTACCCTCGTCAAAACATCACTGGTGTTGTGCTCACTGTCGACACGGCAGACCTTGAAGTCTTGTAGTGCCTCAGCAATGTCGCTGATACACTGAAGACGACGACATACTATAGTGGTTGCTAACCCACCTTTCTTGACCGCCTCTCCACGGAGGAATCTCTCTATCCAGGCACGTACACACTCATTGTCCACGTGTAAGCGTACAGTGCCATCCACATAGGATGATGCCCAAATGAGTGCTTGAGCCGCAGCACAGAGCTCGTTGATGTTAACATGCCTCAACGACGCCTTCCGGTCCAACAACCAGCAAGCATTTCGCACATACACCCGCTCACCAGTGACCAGCTCATAGGACAGCGTGGCAGCCATGGCTCGGCCACTGGCATCAGACTCGATGTGCCAAGCCACAACGTCTGAGCTCCCAGGTGTAGGACAGCGGTGAGGATCATATCGTACAGTTGCCACTCGTAGAAACTCTGCTCGTGTACCACAAATCCGTACAGTTTCACCTCATACAGTTTCCAGTCGTACAGTTTCGCTTCGTACAGTGTCATTTCGTCTTGCTGCACTCAGTACAGTGTCATTCCGTACACTGTCGAATCTTACAGTGTCCACTAGTACAGTGTCATATCGTACAGTGTCCGCTCGTGCAGTTTCACTTAGTACAGTGTCAAATAGTACAGTTTCACCTCGTACAGTGCCAAATCGTACAGTTCCACTCCATACAGCGTTAACTCGTACACCCTACCCGGCCGCGTCCACCGTCGACGCTGGGCAACCAATTTGATAGCATCCGCGAATTGAACCTGGGAGCACCGCTTATCAGCAGGCCCCCCGTCCGCGCGAACACTTCTCCTCACCAACACTCTCGTTTCCGCCAGCGCAATTCGCAGCTCAGTAAATGGCAGCAACGCTCCGCCAGATGGG